TTCCATTTAAAAAAAATGACGGTGACGTCATTACTCGAACGTAATTCACCCTGTATATTAGATTATTATTTTAAAATACGGTAAATTAACATCAAAAATCGACGTGTTTCAGGATTATTTCTTAAAATGACCTGTTTAGCTAAAATGAATTTGTTCCATACTTTACGGACACAGTGTATATTGCATGGAAACAATGGCAGACGGTAAAATGTTGGTAAAAGTTATGCCAATTTGTATGCCAACAGTTGTCGCAGGACATTTTAATTATGAAATTTTATTACATTCAAGAGGCAGACGGTAAACAATGGTTCAGAGACACTGTAAAAAAATTTTTAATTGACTAATGCCTATAAATTATTAATACACCGGCAAACCGTTTGCCTAGTGAAAATTTGATCATTTCATCCTACTGTTAGTCTACGCTGAGCTTGACAGATGGTAAAAAATTGATTTCAGCTAACCATTTTTTTTGGTTGAATAAAAAATTAACGTTTTAGCTGGAACACCATATAACCGTCTGCCAATTATTTTATCTGTGGGTTGTGTAACCTAGCCTTCTGGTCGCATGAAAGGCAGACGGTAAAATGGTGGTCAAAGAAGCTTTTTTTTATGCATACTAGAGTTGACATTTAAGCATGTGTAACATGGGAAAAAAATTCGTTCAATGCTTAATACTGTTGCTTGTAGCTGTAAATATGTCCTCTGAAAAAGGCAGACGGTAAATAATGGGGTCAAAATTTCTGTCACGGGCTCCCGGTCTATGAATGGACAAATGGATTTCAACATTTCATTCACAAATAAACAGATTATGTGATACTCACTCCAGTTGGGTGTGCCAAAAAGCCAACATACTTGTAGGGGTTTCCATCAGGAGGTAAGATGTGCAAACCAAAGTGCTTATTAGTTGAGAATGCCATATATCTGGACTCACAGTGGGGAATTATCTGAACCAAAAAATTTCCAGTAAAAACAATAGCTATTGCCATGTAACGTTCTCACCATCATCTTGTGAATGAGTTGTCTTTTGAAGCAGCCGAATGCTGGTGCCTGCACCAATGATTTAGGTACCTTCGACGATTGATATAAATATTTCAATTTGTGCTGAATGGAAAAAACATTGAATTTTCACAATTAGTAAAATCATCAGAAAATATCAAAGTTATTTTTACCTTGTTGTCCGATACCAGAATGTATCCTAACTGTTTATTTTGTACAGATGTTACCCAGTATATAAAACTCATAGGTATCGCTGACTGCTCTATCCTTTCTCGTGAGATAATAGAGAATTCTTCAATCCTAGTTGTTAATAAAATGAGTTCTATACTGAACATAGTCTTTGCTAGTCTCCACCATTTTCAGTAATACTATTTTTATAGTAATTATTAGGTGTTTATGTTAGATGGTGGTCGAAGAAATAATGGAATAATCTATTGTTTTGGGAATCATGAGATTGAGATTGGAAATGAAATATTGAAACTGAAGAACTAAATGTCAAAAAAGTCAAAGTGGAGAACCTGAAGGAAGCTGATATATAGAACTGGGAATATCTGTCGTAAAACGAATCTACTGAGAACATCATTAGTTCGGACTTCCATTGTCTGATGTTATATAAAATGATTTGAAATCCCTGAAAGAACTAATGAAAAAAAGAATTGAAGATGAATAACTGAAAATAACACTTTCTTATTAGTTAGTGAGCTATGCTTGAAGACAGGCAGTACACAAATCTAAAGAAATGAACTTTGAATGTTCAAGCTCGTCTCGGATATACCTACTCACAGAAAATTTCCTGCATACGCAATTGGCAATACAACTGAAAGAGTCGACCCTCAATTTTGGAACGGGCACACTTGCAGACCGGTTTCGGGTTCCTTAGCCACTCGTCAGTGCAAGATAGTGACCATCATCGACCTAAAGTAAATGATATTCCATAATTGAACATCGCTGACGAGTCATCCTGATTTAATCCAGGTTTGGAGACCAGCTCCCTACCCTTTTGGCTGATCATTGGCCTTGAGAGGGACCAATGGGTACATAACTGATAGATGACGGCATGAAGTCCTTAGACATCAGTGCCGCCCTTCACGGGATACCCCTACCTGGCTGGGGTGGGATGGATGAAAAAGTTATTCATCCTTTAACGGGGAATTGAACATCGAAATTCTTTCACAGTATTTCATTCCCCGTCTTGAGTTGGAGCGAACATAAAAAATGTCACTCCATCTAGTGGACGCGGTACTAACCAACTGCATATCCGAAATTTGCCCGATTCCTCTGAATAAGGAAGAAACACTTTTTTATTGGTCAGTGGGCTATGCTTGAAGACAGGCAGTAAACAAATCTAAAGAAATGAACTTTGAATGTTCAAGCC